CTTCTAGGCTTTGTTGTCCGGTTTTAAGAGTTTTTGTCCTGTCTTGAGCTGTCAATAGGTTCATATACCTACTATTTGAACAGAATACTGTTTCCAGGCTTTAAGTTTTAAGGAAATTTCCTCACCAATTCAAAACTGCTTTTCTTGAAATTACCAGCTGAACTTGCTATTGAAAGTAGTTAGAATATTTAAGAAATTGTATGACCAATAAAATGTGGAGGGAAAAGGAATGGGAGACAACTGCAGACACTAGAGACAGTGTGAGAAGAGGGTGGGAAAGGGCAGAGGGTCAAACGCAGGGGTAAGTATATATATATATATGAAAGTAGAAATGGAAAATTATTGATAACATGCATGATTAAGCCACTATGCAGTGTATTCTGGATGGATAACCATTTTTTGTATGCTGTGATGATGATTAGGGGATGAATGTAAATTGATTAATTTAAAAAAATTTCAGGAGAAAAAAAATCATGAAAACTATTTTTCATGAAATTTTAAAAAATGCATATTTGAGGACTGCAGTAAGCTATGTAGTCCCAGCTGGGTGCTACTTTGTTGTATGTTCATTTTACTCACTGAGGTTTATGCCTAGGGTCAGACTTGTGTTCATGGATATGTATATATCAGCTGCGCTTGCTGTTGAAAGTATTTAGATGAATTAAGTTCTTTAGCGAATAAATAAAACAGGGAGAAAGGCATAGAAAGCAACCATGGATACCAGAGACAGTGTGGGAGGAGGGTGGGATACGGCAGATGGTGAGAGATAGGGAATCAAGAATGGCAAAAATAATAAAATATACAGAAAATAGGGAATGGAAAATTGTTTGTTGTTGATAAACACGTATGTTGATGTGCTTGATTGAGCCAATATACTGTGTATCCTGGATGGGAAATCTCATTTTGTTTGCTGTGATGATGTAGAGTGAATGAATGTAAATAAATAAATTTAAAGAAAAAGCAGATGGACCTGTAATGAAAGGAACAAGAAAGGAAGAAGGAAAGTGGGAGAGTATCTCAGGAGGAAATCAGGAGAGCATCTTAAGATGGAGGAAGTGAACAATGGAATTGCAGACTGTTGTCAAGTGGGTAACTAAGGTTGTATCCCTCAACAACATGTGACAACATAAAGAAAGGGACTTTTGTCTCATACTTCATTGCCTGTCTCTTCTCTCACCATTAACACCTAGCACAAGGCCTTATATGGAGAAAGTTTTTAAAATGTGTTTATTCAAAGAATGAATGAGGGACCAGCAGATGGTGCAATGGTTACACCACTGGATTCCCACACGGCTGACTACAGTTCAAGTCCCGGACCCAGCAGCTTGAAATTTATGTCAGATATATGTACATGCGTGGCCAAAATCCTGAGTGGAGAAGGGAGGAGAGAGGAGGGATTGTGGCATGGCCATCCCCTCAGGGGATGATTTCTCCCTTTTCCTCTCACTGTCTCTCTGTCTCTCTGGTGAGCACACTCACCCTATAACAAAAGTCTTTCTTAAAAAAAAAAGAGAGAGAGAAATGAATGAATGAATACATCTTAGTGAACTAGCATATAACATAATGAAGCCAAAAGTAGCTTAATATATTTAGGAAGGAAAAAAATAATATATATGTGTGTGTGTATATATATATATGTGTGTGTATATGTGTGTGTGTGTGTGTATGTGTGTATATATATATATATATATATATAATTCAGGATTATGTCAAGTAACAACATAACAGGAAACAAAAACATAGTAGGAAGAAATCTACTGCCCAGGATGAACTGGACAAAAATCAAAACATCATGTTATCATCAGAAAAGAAAATGAGCAGTATAAAATGAATGAACTGTTTACTCACACTGATTATGCTACTTGGATTCAGTGTGCAGTGAAGACCTATTTAACTAAAGGAGATCTGAAAATATTTGGAAATATTTAAAGGACCATGTGAAGAAGAAAGTTTAGAAAATAATACAAATCATTATAATGCAACATACTAAAACTGAACAAAATAGCATTTTTTAAAAAGTCATGTGTGAAAGCACAGAATGGTGTCATAGTAGTAACCTTGAGATTAATATATTCTCCACATGCCTTAGTTTAATCCAGTATGAAATGGATTACCCTTTTTAAATCACATTGTTAGCTTATACCACTGATAGGGACATTGAATATAATACTCTCACCTACTGCTTTGAAAATGCATTCATTTTCCCTAGAGAAAAGTCTTCTAAATTCTATTCCTAGGAGTTCTACAAGAACATGAAAATATCTGTCTTTATCCATTCATATTGTTTTGTAGTTTTCTCTAGTAAGTTTCTAGATAAATGTATAGCCCATTCATCTGTTTATATATTTTTAAACTCTTAAGTCTTAATTTCATGCCCTTCTCCTCACTCTTTTTATTCCTTCTCACCTACTTTCAGTTATCTAATTTATTTAACATTGCTAAAGGCTGACTTAAATCCTTTCTGAAACAATGTTCACATATAGATAAATATGCAAATAGATGAATAAATTACTAGGATTGTTCATAGTATTAACTATTAGGTCATCTCTACTCTTAGTCTTCTCTTTTTCAAAAAGATAAGCCTAATTTACTTTTAGTTTGTCGTCATCCAACCTTCATATTTCCCTGAACAAGCTCATTTTAGTTGGTAAGATGGAAGTTTTTAAGTATAATTTGGGAGTGAAAGAACCATGGAGATGGCTGATATAGGTAAAGAAATGGATGGAAAGATGGAGATTCTTAAGTCATATGATAGTAGTTTAGAAATCCCCACTGCAATGTCTGACAAATGCCAATCAATAACAAGCTATTTTACATTACTTTTATTACTGCTGGGGTTTCTCTGACCATATTGGAATAAAAATTAGAATAAAAATCACATGGGTTGTGTCTTTCTTTCTTGTTTTTTTTTTTGTTGTTGTTGATTTTTTTTTTTTTTAAGACAGTTTTGCTAGGGTGCTTGCGCTCACCAGAAAGACAGAGAAACAGAAAGGGAGAAATAGCCCCCCAGAGGGATGTCCATGTCTCAATCCCTTTTCTTTCATTCTCTTCCATTCACCACTTGGGATTTGGGGCATGCACACACATGCGCCCTGCATGTTTTCCAAGCTTCTGGATCTGGAACTCAAACCACAAAGTTGACCATGTGCCAACTTTGGATCCAGTTGCCTTCACCACCACACTACCAACTGGCCTGAGGCAAAATTTTTTTTGAGCTTTCAATACATATTACTAAACTGCTGTCCAGTTTATCAAAGTGTGTATCAAATTGCATTTTCACTGGCTGGATAGCCACTTTCACGTTTAATCTTCGTGTTAGGATAAAGTGAAGATTGGTTGTTAAACAAAAAGAGGCATCCAGTTGCATTTTTGTTTGCTTTAAGTATAGAAAGAGATAGAAGTTAAACTTTAGAATTGGCTATTTGAAAGATAAATCCTTTATTGGGCACACCTGGCAGGCCTCTAGCTGCTTGAACTAAAGAGGCCCAGAGGGGGAAGTCTTACACCACCATCCCTGTAGGTGGATGACTCTAGCTGTTCCAGTACACAGTAAAAGCAGGCCATAAAAACAGATGAAAGTAAATGTAGTAACATGGAGAACAAACAGGCTTAACGTTTAGAAACTCATCAAAATGATATGGGTTGTTTGTTTCATCTATACCGCAAAAGATCCAGTTGTTTAGTTGGTTATTTTTGCAATAATGAGTGTTAAAGAGTTAGTCATTTAATTCCTAATGACATAAAAATAGATTTACATACAAGATGAGAGGGTGTCAAGGGTATGCCATTTCTAGAAATCAGTCATAACAAATTAATCAGAGATGTTGTCAAATATATGTAAGTAAAGTAAAAACAACACATTGAGGTCCTTGAAGTCAGAGTGTGTAACTCATTAATCTTGGATTCTCCATTGGCTCCTATACACGAATAGACATATAGTAGACAAGTGGTATGTGTGTTGTATCTATAGAGACTTCTGTGTATGAGGTTTTCAAGTCCTCTATAGGTGAGATTTTTGTTCCTCGAGAGAGAGAGACAGTCGATCAATTTAACATAAATGGTGAAATTGCTGATAGTGTATTTCCTAGATGAATCAAAAAGAGAAGGGGGTTTATATATCCTTTAGCTATACATGATATTTTTATTGTCAGATATCATGGAAAGGTACTTTCCAATGATGTATTCAGCAAAGAATCAAAATGCCATTTCACATAATGCCACAGAATGTCATCAGATTACTCTGGAATTACATTTCAAAGTTTAAATGATTTCCTTGTTTTTAAATGCCGTTAATTAAATAATAAAAGTGACAGTCTATTCACAGTTTTAAGTTACTCCTCTCTGAACTTCTGTCTAAGGCTCTGAGTTAGTGACATGAATTATCCTAGTCAGCAGTCTATGTTTGATCCTTAGCCAGATTACTGCCATATATAAACGACAGATCAAGAAGGATGAGGTTAAAATAGAACTAGGTCCTATAGTACAGTGGTTACTCATTGTGCAAAGGAAGCCAGATCCCATGTGGCCAACTAGGGTTCAAGTCCTGGCCCCAGTGGTTTATATACTGGGCAACTGCACTCATGTCCAAGATACTGATGGGATGGAAAATTGAAGAAAAAAGGATTAATAAAGGTAACCAGGCCCATTGAGAGGTGCTTTCTCTCTCTTTCTTTCTCTTGGGCACATACATGTGCTATCTGACACTAAAAAAAAAAAAAAAAAAAAAGAAGAAGAAGGAAAGACAAATTAAAAGAAAGAAAAAACTGAAGTCCAAAATTTTCAGTTTTCTGTTATGTCATTAAAGCTATAAGTTAGCGGAATGATTATGAGGCTTCGATTCTTGAGCTAAAATAATTGTAATAATACTCTCCTTACCTACCTGTTGTGATGAGTTATGAGTTCTTTTTACAGGACACACTTACATACATAGATAAACGCTTTCAGTTAATTTTAAAAGGAATCATAAAGTTATAAATAGTATGGCATTGAGAAGTTCTCACCTGAGTAAAGAAGGGTAGAAATGTGATATGCAAGAAACCCAGTGTAACGGTTGGTTGAAAGATGATTTTGAAAGATCTGAAGCAGATTCATCCACACCATGCTGAAAAGTCCTAGAGAAACACAACTAATTACTTCACAAGATACAGGACACATAAGCTATGAAAACCATTGAAATAACTTTTGATTTTTACTTATTTTCAGTTTCTTATTCTACACAAAATAGCACGGTGCTAGAATGAACAATGCACTCACACCATCCACCTGAGATTTATGTCCACAGGTGACTCAGGGGCTAGATGGGCAAGTCAACACAGACACAAAAATCCTGAGATGAAACTTAGGACTCATTTGTACCTCTAGATAACAATCCCTCCATTTGGGAAAAGTGTAACAATACCATTACCATTTTTAAAATTTTCATATTATAAAATCTGTCAAAGACAAATGCATGAAGAATGAATACCATTTATGTTTCCCTCCCATAAGTACTGTTCTTATATCCCACTGGAGACTCTTCAACCTGAAACTAATGAATAACAATATTTTGTCATATTTGCTTCATTAATGTAAAAATGTTTGGCGGGATGGTACCTCTACTTTCAAGTGATTTATAAGTACTAAACAGCTAATGTGAATTTATAATTTGTATGCTCCTAAAAACCTAGAGTGAGCTTGTAAAGGAAAACTTATTTAAAAAAAAAAAAAAAGAAATTAATTATAAAATCTAAGACTTGGGCAAGCCCTGTGGCCTGTTAGTTAGAGGAGCTGGACCCCAGATGGATGACTATGTGATTCAAGCCCTGGATTGGGCAGCTTGAAAAACATGCTAGGCCCATGTATGCATGTGCCCCAAATTCTGATAGAATGGAGGTGTAAAGGAGAAAGATTGTGGCATGACCATGCCCTATTGTGGGTTGCTTTCTCTATCTCCCTCTTCCTCTATCTCTCTATCTCTGGTAAGTAAGCACACACACATTCTGGCAATTGAAAAAAGAAAGAGAAAAAAATATGGCTAGAATATCTGGCCTACAGCTATTTTGGAGAAGTGACTAGCATTTTTCTAGGTGGGTTCAAATTCTACTATAAATCTTGATATAATAAGATAGGATTTATTACATAAAATCTTTAATAGCTAGCTTGGCTAATAAAAAATTATAGCAGGAGATTGTATTTGCCCACATAGAATGACGAGTGATGACTGGGAATACTTTAAACATGGAATCATTTGAAGTGGTAGCATCTCTCTTTACACACAACACAAGAACTATAATGTCTTTGGATACTAAATATGTAAAATAAAATTCCATTTTGAAAGTAGGAAACAAATATAAAAAATGCAAAATTACAGGGGATCTGGCAGCGGCACAGTATTAAAATACGACACTCTATGAGACAATCCATATGAAAAAGTTCCCGGTTCAAATCTGGGGACCTTTTAGACTACGCCAGGCACAGGCTTGCCTGTGATGGGGGCAGACTGAAGACTCGAGGTTGACAGCCATGTCAAGATCCTATTGGGGGTGCTCGTTGTCTTTTTCTGTCTCTCTCTCTTGCTCACTTGCTCATAAAAGTGAGTTTTGTTTGTTTGTTTGTTTGTTTTGCTTGTTTTGTTTTTGCTATAGGGCTCATGCACTCAAGGGGGGAGAGTGAGAAAAATAACCCCCCTCCCAGAGGTCATGTGGGGATAGCCATGCAAACGTTTCTCCACTCTGTTCTCAGTACTTTGGGCACACATAAACACACCTGTCTTGATTTTCAAATGGCTGTGTCTGGGACTTAAACCATGACAATAGCCATGTGGGATCTAGTGCCTTAACCTCCACACCACCCACTGGTCCCCAAAAGAAAGAAATCTCTTAAAATGTTAAATTAGGTCTAGCTGTGGTAGTACAAGTGCAGCCTCAGCACTGCATGAGGCTGGGGCTGTGTGGGAGGCCCAAGTCAAATCCTGGATGGCCCTAAATATGCCAGGCATGGTGATGCACACCTGCAGTCCTAGCTAACAAGGAGCCTGTGGCAGAAGATCACAATGGTGAGATCCTTTCAAAACTCGCTCTCTCTCTCTCTCTCTCTTTCTCCATGTATATTCCTCATTTTCTCTCTACTCCTTATTCGTTCTTTTTTCCTCTCTATATCTCATTATATCTTTCTTTTTCTCTCTCATAAAGGTAAACAATGTTAGTGATGGTACGAGGTGGAAGATAGAAGGAGAAAGTAAAGAAAAGGGCGATGTCTGGAATCAATTGCAGGTATTTTACTTAATTTTACATATGTTGAGGAAGTTAAGATATTTGGACCTCCTTCAATAAAACATGTCCTTCAAAGAGAGTCACCCAATAAGTGTTTGGATTACCGACAAACACATGTAAGAGATATCTGGTTTGAAGATATCAATGTCAAAGTCATCGGCATGATGGTGAAGCTATAAGGAATGGATGAATTCAGTTCCCAAAACAAGAGTGTAAGAGGAAAAGATGTGCAAAGACAAAACTCTGGAACACTTAAAATAACGAAACAAGAATGGGAAACTCTCAAATGAAACCACGAAGGAATAGTGAGAGAAAACAGCAAAGAGCCAGAACCAAGTGAAGTTAGGGAAGCGAAGGAAGGGGATGATGTCCAGTTGTGTCAAAAGCTGCAGAGAGGGTAAGAGAAGACTAACCCACTGGTGTTACTGATTGGGTATGTGGAGATGGCCTTGCCCAAGCTCTGTGTTTAACATAAGTGAATGGTAGTTTAAAGGTGGAGTCAATGAGGACAATCAGGTGGCGTGATGGTGAAGGTGCTGAACTCCCACATGGCACCATAGTTTGAGTTCTGGACCAGGCAGCTTGAAAATCATGCTGGGTATGTGTGCAAGCATGTCCAAAATCCTCAGAGGAGAATGGAGGAAAAGGGATTATAGTGTGGCCATTCCTCCTGGGGGATGATTCCTCACCTCCTTTCTGCCTCTCTGTTTCTCTAATGTGTGTACCCTATGGCAAAAACCTAACAAACAAAAATTTTAAAATGGAGACAATGAATACAAACTGTTTTAGGAGAGAAATGCAATAGAGAAAGAGAAATACTTTGTAATATAGGAGATGCTTGTGAAAAGGAAAGAGAATATAGAAAGAGCATTTGAAAGACTAAGGCTATGGAGTAAACATGATCAAGATCTCGGATGAAAAGATTTGCTGTAATTAGGAGAAAAAGGACACATTGACAAGTGCCCAGTCAAATGATGTGGAGGTGTGATGGGAGCAATATCATCAAGAACGGTGATGAGAAGTTAAGAGTGCATTCATGGTGTCTGGATTTTGTCAGAGAAGTACAGGCACAAAGCCATCTCCTAACGGTGGGATGGGGCAAAGTCAGACGGTTGACCAAAGTGGAGCAGAATGCAAGAAGTATCTGTTCAGGTACAAAAAGTGAGCTGGGAAATACTCCCAGCAGTGTACGAGACTCTGGACAGAGAGGCCAGGACAGTGAAGGATCAGAGAGGTCCATGTAACAGCAGGGGAGGTAGGAGGGAGAAGGTGCTGATATAATGTGATAAAGGAGTTGTAGCAAGGGGTTTGCAGAGCAAACCAGTCTCAAGGGAGGGAGAGACTGAGGAGAAAGAGTGGTACAAGAGATGGAGAGCTTGATGAGAAAGGAGAGGGATGGGGGATATGGACAAGGGGTACTAGCATAATGGATGCCTCCTTGCCCACCTACTTTTCTGAACTCTTTCTGTAAATCCCCTTCTGTCCAGTTATCTAGAGGATATCTCATTTCTCTGAGACTGGATATTACCCAGAATGCCCTCTATCCTAGTCAGCTAGCTCCTTAGACTGCTCTACCTTAGCACCTTCTCTGTCTTTCCTGATTGCTTCGTCTAAGGTAAGCCCCTTCTCATCACTGCATCCCGTCTCTACGTCCTTCTTTTGCTATGTTTCTTCTTAGGACTTAACTCTACCTCTAATCCTTTTTGTTTGGTTTGGTTTGGTTTTTCTTATTTATTTACATTTAATCATGTCTTTACAGTGTACAATATTTCTTTTTCCAGCATGAATACCATGTATGTCAGTCAAGACAAAGATATTACTATATACATTATCATTAACAAATAGCTTCTCATTTTTTTTTTTGGTCAATTAAGCCTATTTTACTTTAATCCTTTTGCATTTACTTTTTTCCATTTGCTTCCTATCCGAATGATAGGGTTACCATAGGTCACGTAGAGCAGTGCAGAGGTGTTTGTAGAAGTCCCTGAGCCAGGCAGCTGGGTCTGTATCCTGAAAGTGCTTTATTAGATAGGTAATGCTGTCTGGCCATCTCTTTAGTCTCGGTTTTCTCATTTATAAAATGAAAATTAAAAAAAACACCTAACTGGGTCAGTGTGAAGATTAAATGAGACAATGCATATAGAAGACTTAGCTAGGTGTCTTGTACCCAAAAAAGGTTCAGCATACATAGTATTAGTGTGATAACAACAATTGCAACTAGTTAAGATCTATAACTATCTGTAAACTGTATGAAATTCCTAATAATCGAAATGATTGTCTCCCAACAGTTTTAGCCTTAAGACAAAAAGAAGATACTCTAATAATAATGGAATAATTATTTGCTGCCAACATTTTTTAGACTACAAACCATCAGCAACATAGTATTTATCAGGACATTTCTGCCAATAACTACATTCTTTTACTCCACAGACAGCTTCTCAGTCTTACTGGTAATGTAAGGTTATTTGGCTCTAAGAGGCGTCATGGTCTCAGAGGGGGTGGGATCTGTATGAGCATTTAATTCCACAGCAAGATCTCAAATTAGTTTCATTATTCTGGAGAGTGTAACAGGGTGAAAATTGGCCCACAAGCCTCAATGGGGAAATGAAATTATGAGCTAGCTAGATAACCTCTAATGATGTTTTGGTATACAGTTAGAAGAGAAGATGCTCTAAAGAATTCATACAGGAGAATAAAATACAACCAACCATATGAGCCATAGTATAATATTTTTCACAAGACCTCAAAGAATTTTGATATGGAAAATTTAAATGCTCCTTGAAATATAAATAATTACCTATAGTTTGAAGTAGAATACATTTCCTCACATTCCCAAATAAGCAGACTATTAAGATGGCATT